GCCTTCACAGTGTTCACGGACGGCTCCAAAACCTCATCAGGAACAGGGGCTGGTGTATTCTCTGAGGACCTCAAATCAAATCAAAATCAAATCAAATCCATTTTATTTGGCACAATATAAAATAATAAACATTTATCAAGCGATGCGTGTCCCACAGTTGTACCAAAAAGGTGTCTAGCTCAGCATATGCCGATCTCTTTTACTTCTTAAAAGTAAAAAGAGACCGACGCTGATTTTCAGCAAGACCCCGTTTGAATCTGTCACACGGATGCAAGGACGGTCATGTACAATCTATATTGATATATATACATATAAAGTCACGTCGTGGGCCGTGTCGTCCATATGCGGAGGGCTGTCGGACACCGTGTATTCTGCGGAGAGGCCCTTCAAGGGCGTGGAGGTGTTGTCCCCCCTAGGGATTTTTAATTTACACCCCGGACATAACCATAAACTTTTGACAGTTGCCGTCTCGGGAATTGCTACACATGGCTTATGGAATGAGCAGCTACATTTGCCATAGCGCACACTCTCTGCCGCCGAAAGAAATTTGCCGCAGCTACTACACTTAACCATATTGTAAGCTCCAATGGCACAAAGCGCCACCTGTGTTTTATTTGCCGTTCCTGCAAGCAGTTAATGGGCGTGAAGCTTGATCGCTCGATATAGCAGAGCGGACAAATACTATTAGAGTTTGCTAACAAGTTCTAACAGGAATTTATAGATGGCAGTGTTGTCGCACATAATTAAATATTATCTTGCATGGGTTGTGACACCATAGGAACACAGGTAAATAAATTTCCAAATATAGGTCCGCACTAGTATCACCAAAGTCACAAAGTTTTGATGTTTCTGTATTATATGGAGAACAGTTGTATATATTCCATGAAAAGGGTAGTTTAAACCACTGACTACGACGAACAACTAAGTTTTTGTAAATTTATTATGTTTTCACTCAAGTTACACTTTGTTAACACTATCACTGTAAGTTTATAACTGTATAAAGCGAATTATAATTAAACACTGGTGCAATACTTATTAGTTTAATTTTTGAAAATATTATACTCCGTGTTACGTACAACCGACCCGAGATCCAGATGACAGTATCCTCACCTCAATATACATCTGTTCTTGCCCCTCAGCCCATACAATACAGTTTTCCAGGCTGAATGTATGGCGATCACTCTGACGGCGAGAGCGATAACTACAAGGAACGTAACAGGATCAGAAATCCGGATCTTTTTGGACAGTAAATAAATTCTACAGGCTCTCAAAGGAAGTTCTGTCCGATCGAGTCTCCTACAGGATAGTCACCTAAACATGGTGGGACACACAATATAATTACTATCCAATGGATAAAGGGACACAGTGGATCACGTGGAAATGATGCAGCTGATGAACTGGTATACAGAGGATCAGACGCAACACCAATGGGCCCGGAACCGATAATTCCTATTCCGGTAAGCTGGTTAATTGGTAGGATACGTGAACACTCGAGTAAACTGCATCAACAGTACTGGCATACTTTGGAAACCTGCAGGCAGGCCAAACTTGCACTACCCCGAGTGAACGCTCGCCTCTCCAAAGCCCTCTTACAGTTAAGTAAACCATATTTGCGCCTGGTAACTGGTGCTATTACTGGTCATGGCAACTTTAACAAGCACCTTTTCGATCTAGGTGTCACTAACAGCCCCTTGTGCAGAGAATGCATGGAGGCGGAAGAAATAGCCACTCACGTCCTGCTGGAATGCAAGGGAGTGGCCAACTATCGGGCAAAGCACCTCCAAGAGGCCATCACAAATGTGAAGGCGCTGGGAGCGTTTCTGGCCGAGCTGGGCTGGCTGGAATAGTATCCGGCCACACACCCTCTACACGCAAAATAGGCGTAATTTGGTCGTCGAGTTGCGGAGACGCCCGTTCAAGAAAGAAGAAGAAGAATGTCATCTAATTATTTTATACCAAACATAAAATAAAAGTAAAATGTAGAAATTAAATAATATTCGAGTAAGATTTTTTAATAATAAAATAAGGACATAAAATACATTAGCATAATAGATAGTAATAGTACAATGCCAAGAGTGTTAGAGGTCTAATGAAATAAAACCTACTTTAAAAGGTAACAAAGGTTTTATTTGATTGAACCACGATGCGGTGATAACGCTGAGCTTGACGTCTAGTTCGAAGCTGTTATATTGACAGAAAGCATAGTGTGACGAAAGAGGGTTAACGCTGTCGTATTAAAATATATAGAAATTACTAGCGGACACTTTCCGTTGCTTAAACTTACCTACATCATCATCATCAACCTATTAATGCCCTCAATGTAGAGGCACACGAGTTCTTTATGGATGGAATCGAATAGGGAGAACGGGTTATGCGTTACCCACCAAGCTAGCCCAGTGCGGATTGGTGGGTACTAACGGCCGCAAATATAACCGGGACAAACGACTTATCATGCCTGACGCACGGAGGAGTTCGAGATAATACATTTTTTGTCACCCATCCTATGACTGACCCTTGTGAAAGATGCAATACTTTCACGACCAAATGCATAAACCATCGAGCTTCTCATGACAACTATAATATAGATTTTACTTAGTATTGACAAAATAGTAACAAACTTGCCAGGAGGTAATAAGAACTGCAATCGATCGCTTTTGTTGATTAATTATTTAGTTCAGTTACATAATATGATTAGCCATTTTTCAATTTATAAGCGACACGCATTCAGTTATGAAACTGACCGAGTTTATTCGTAGTTGTAGGTGGAGATATTCGATCTAATAACTTATTAGAGTGTAATCGTAATAAACACCTAAAGAGGAAACAATGCAGATATTTACTAAGTAACTTCTGATGTTGTAGATAATTACTCTACACAAAATATGGTCAGAAAGCTGTATTTTTAACATTACCAAAGATATAAAAAAAAAATTGTAATAAAGATTTTTTAGTTAATTCGAGAGCTCAATTTCGTAGAAGTGTTACATGACACATTTATGAATAAAAAATTTCATGTAATGTAATATGCGTATTCTCACATATTGTATTATATTCCTAATGTTATTTTATAGTGTCGATTTTCCTTGAGTAGAATAAAACAAAAAAAGAGTAATTAAGCAGTGTTAAAAAGAGATATGTGTAAAATTCTGGATGTCGTAACTGGACTATGATTTTAATCATGCGATGAAATAATTAAATTAAATTGAACTGTGTACTAATATCTATATTTAAACACTAGCTGTGTCCGCGACTACGTCAGCGTAGGAAGTATATTGGTAGAATTCATTTTTTCCTATGAATGGAGTCGAATAGAATAAGATCAATGAGCCACTAAGCTATGGCCGAGTCACCAGGACACTCAAGTATTGGACCATTAATCCCCTCACAGATGGAAAATTGGAGAGGCTCGGGTAAATCGAGAGCCTCCCCCAGACAGATGAAACCGTGCAATGCGGCTGCCAACCACCTCCGATGGCCCCGACGACGTGAACCTAATCTGATAAAAATATGCGTTCACTGTAAACTACTTGATGCTTAATTGCAACATCGGAAGGCTCTTTTCGCTTGTTCTCATACTCGTGTGATCGTATACCACATGTTCGTTATAAGCTGAACCCTATTTAATATGATTAGGTATATATATGAGGTCAACTTACTTTGGAGTATCCAAATTTTGGAATCTTATTTTTTATTTATCATCATACAAATTATCATTTTATAGACAATATTAATTCGTAGCTCGGTGGCGCTACGCATAAGCGCCGCTGCGCACGATCGTTATTGCTAAGCAAATTTGGGAAGAGTTGTTCACGGGATTTGTGACCAAAAATTATTATACAATAATTTTTGGTCACCCATCCCGAGGCCCTGCAGTTTGGCTGTGAAAGAGTTAATGATGATGATCAATATATCAAAGACGAAAATTTAATCATCATCGTCATCACACGTCATTTCAAATTGACATAACTTTTTTATTTGTTAACGGAAGAATACCGCAATAAATAAGTGAAAATTACATTGAAATTGGTTCAACCGTTTCTGAGATTAGCGTGCACAAACGCACAAACAAACAGACAAAAAAATTGAAAATCATTGCTTTGTGTTCTATTACGCTTATAAATGTCCCTCATAACAGTTTTTTTCATATATTTTCAATGTACAGACATCCATCAGTTACGTTTTTATAATAGTATAGATAGATAGATAGATATAAAAGGAGATGTCCTGACTTACTGACTGACAGACAACGGACAGCCTAAACCGCTGATCCTAGAGACTTGAAATTTGGAGAGTACTTTCCTCTTATTACGTAGAGGTGTACGAAGAAGGGATTTTCGTAAATTCCAGAAAAACGTTTATATGAAACTTCTTTGGTTTTGGACCTATATCGATGAAAATTGGTATTTGAGTAGTTTCAGACCCTGTGAATGTAATAGCTTATATGTTATTCAGAAAACCAGTACTTAACGTAGTGAAAATGGGGGTGGAAGTTTTTATGGGGGAGTCAAAATGTTACCATTGTAACCGTTGTTTGCTATTTGATTAGTGATTGAAGTAAATTAATCACGTTATTTCTAGTAAGATACAAGTACCATTGTGTATTTGTGAGCAATCTTTCTCAATAGCGCAGTGGTTAACGCGTTCGGCCTGCAATGGGGAAGTTAAGCAACTATCGCAAGAGCTGATCATATGAGGAAATTTATTATCAGCCGTTCTTCGGAAGACATCTGTAGTCGTTAACACTCATTAATCCACACTGTGCGTCATGCTCATGATCCATTCTCCATTCCATCTAAAAGTGCTGGCCTGTGCCCCAGCAATTGGGACATTAATATGCTAGTGGTGATGACGATGGGACATTTTTGAAAGTGTTAGTCAAAACCGCTTCACAAAATCTCACGTGGTCCCATTTTTGGTATTTGGCAGAACCTTCGTTAACAACACCTAGCTCTGGCATGACAATGGCAGACCATACGCCACTAAGATGATGTGTCTCTTACCTGGGACATATTTGGTACCGATGTAGCCGAGCAAACACATTCCCAGGTGATGATACACGTGTAAAAATGATACGTGTGTGAACTTTTTCCGCAAAACGAAAAATATCTGAAAAGAAAAAGATATTCTATTTCGAATGTTGATGCATTAAGCACAAGATTGATTGAATATTTTATTTCAGTTTCATTTTATTCTCTTTGTTTGGTTTTACTGATACACACTATCCAAAGAATGCACTTAACTGTTTTGAAGGAACTAATAGAATGTATACTAATATCATAAAGAGTAATGATTTTATTGTTTGTTTGCATTGAATAGGCTCTGAACCTACTAGATCTAATTTAAAAATTATTTCACCTCCGCGGTTATAAATTACTTGGGCGAAGTGGTGGAAAAACAGTTGTATTTAATATTTCAATGTGACCGTTTCAAATCGATTGATCTCGAGTAAAATTGTAAAATAAAATTAAAAGTGTAAAATTGTTACCTCTCAATTCTTCCATGATGAAATTCCATAAATAAATTTTTAAAAAGTTTAAAATCATTGAATAGAAACTCATAATCACACGATTATCTCCATTTCAATTTTGGAGATGGGTGTGTCATCAATTAATTTATATCTGCACGGCTAGTAAGAATTCACAGAACATCAATTTATTACATATATGTAATTTGCATTATAATCTTAATATGTCATGGACATAGTCTGCCGCAGCGATTAATTCGATATTAACTGTTTTATTTCCGGCAATATTTTAGTAAGTTAGTACTTCCTGACGAGGATGTGTTGATGTGCATGTTACGCCAGTTAGGTTTTCAATGTAATGTGTGTTTAATTTCCTTTCAACCCGGCAATTAACGTAAAGGTTACACGGCCGCTATTGAAACGTGTATTTGAAGCTTTTACTATACCAGGCAAGTCAGCTCACGTTCAGCTGTGAGTGTAAGAGGAAATTCTATGTACCTACATAGAATAAAATTAAAGAAATAAAACAATCTATACATAGTATAAAACAAAGTATGTACGCTGAGATCTCTAAATAGTTTTTATCAGTATACAGAAAAATTCGCGAGGAAGGTTTGTAATACAGGACCACGCGGGCGAAACCGCTGGTGGAGAGTACAAAACGATACATAAGACTGGATTTTTTTTTAAATCGTACTTCTTAGCTTTGTCGTACCACCTATTTGTAGAGAAAAAGTTTCAAGGTGTAGCCATCTCTCAGGTACCGATTTTGATTCCCAGCCAGGCCGATATAGAAAGAGCACTTATCTATATTATCTCGGGCTTGGATGTCATGGTACCTTTGTTGTTTCTAATATGTTTTCTATAAATATCGAGTATTACATCTTCATTTCTATTTATTTTGGTATCATAGCAATTGTATGTGATATTGTCTAATATTGAATATCTTTATATTTATAATAATACCCTGGTATGCTATTTTGTTAAAAACAGCCTCGTACTCGACGTCGAGCTAAACACTGTCATGGCATAGAGCTTCAATGGAATGTAACCTTTATTAACTTTCAAATTAGGTTTTAATTTTAATTTTTAAATTAGGTTTAACAGAATAGCACACTAGTTTCTCATAACTATTAAAATATTCACCGTGTCCAATAGATCGACTATCTTAACCATGTAGTAGAGCCACACGTAGCCGACGACCATTTTCTCCAACGGGGTGTCTTCATAGATAATCTTCTGACACCATATGCTGTAATTCCCTGGCAGGTATAGTCTGATCATACACTGTGGACCAAACAGGAAAAATTTCGTCAATTTTTTCGTAAATAGCTTTTTTATCCTATAAAACACTGTAAACAACGTTTGTTAAAGTTAGGTATATAAAATACATATATTAACTGTTTGTTGTTGTTTTGAAATTGTTTTTAGTATCCTTTATATTTACAAGAACTTGACTGTACCACATTCATGCGAAATAAATTATAATAATTATTTAAAATATATTATTATTATTATATTGGAAAGGAATACGAGCGTAAGTTAGTGTTCGTGTTAATAGAAAAAAATGTTCAGGTTGTTTAACGATTTTACTTTTAATCGAATCAGCATCAAACGATCCTGAACTTATAACCGAATGAAGTGTGAAATAAAAACGCGGGCAAGTGCAGCGTGTGGTAACTGGTAAATAGATCAATGCAACAATATAGTTCCTTTCGTAACTCTTATTAAGTCTCGATTTGACCTAAACATCGAATATTGTTTTTACAGTGTTAACATTTTTTAAATTTCCAATAAATTTAATACTCGTTACACTTCCATTTTTGGATCATCAAATAGGTATTTATTATGGTGATATACTGAAATGTATGTTAATTGTTAATTTAATCTCTTGTTTGTAATGTGTGATAATTGTAATTGACGTATGTCGTTTTTATCATAATAATAATAAATAAATAAGTAATACTCAAACTACCAATTGTCATTGTCAATAGGGATGATGACTAATTTTTGTTTGTTTGTCCGTCAGGTAGAGTAATCATAAAATTACGGCGTTAAATGCCGTTGAAATTTCGCATGGCGTCACGTTAGGGTACGTTTTCTACTCAACTGTGACGTAGCGAGCCCCCACTCCTCAACTTTAATGCCTGTTATCTAAGTTATTTCTTGTTAAATTGAAGTAAAAAAAAATAAGTATCTAATATTTTTCTGTTATCTGACTGACGGACTAAATAGATTTGCATTTTTTTTACCCAGTCATCATCCCTATTTTTTTTATTACTGGTACTGACTTAAGTCTTCGTTTTATAATAAGATGGTAAAGTGTTTATGTGTGCTATGCCCCTTTTTAATTAAATTGGTTTTGTAGGTATTGCTGAAAGTAATTAATTATCTATGACAAATTAATGGACGAAGAACAAGACTCGCATTGCAAGTGCCTTTTATTACTTTGAGTAACCTAACTCTAAAATATGATTTCTTTTTATTTTACAGATCTGCTTACCTGAACTGCTAAAAATGCGGACAGGTATATTTGTATGATGTTGTATCCTATGATAACTTTCTTGAGATCGTATGGCTGCCGCTTTTCCATGAAGGCGGGTCCCCACGAGCGCACGAACCGATGATATACCACCATTATGACCAGGATGGGCACAGGACTCGACACCAGCGGAAAGGTGTTTGTTCTAGGATCTATAGAACGAAACATATCTTAAAAAACCCCACCAAAAGTCTCTGCGATAGTATAAGGTTTCAGTATGTTGACTGGCACAGCGCCCCATTATTATATTTTATTTTCTTTTTTTACTTCGAAATGCATTCGGCTCTACCTCTGCCGCCTGGCAAGCTACAGGGGATGTGTGGGACTATCTTTCGTTAAACTCACCCCGTGGCTAGTGAGTTCCCTGAGGCCTCCCCACAAAAACCCTTGCGGTAAAACCTCCCCTAGCACCCCTAGCGGTATACTATTAAGAACTACAAATGTCCATACAAATTCTTAGCGCACTCTCAATGAACGCGTCAACGTAAAAAATAAAACACGACCAATAATGGTACCTTCTTATTTTTAACCAATTTTTATATCATACCTATTATTTATCAATGATGGTATAATGACACGAAAAAAGGATCTAAATTCAAAGAAAAGAATCAACAACTAGTTTTCATAGTACATATACTTTATGGTTTCGCATTTTCTGATTAATTATCGATTAAAATATCCTATCCTTTAGACAATTTCAGTTGCATGAAATCGTACCATCTGTATCATTTTTAAAGTAAACCGTTTGCATGCTTTTCCGGAGTCGGAAGCCATTCTTTCTGGAGTTAAGTGACCTTTTTAATTTTATAAGTTTAGAAATTAAATCATGAAATGACAAAATACTTTTCTTATTTATTTGTCTTAGATTAGAGATTTTTTTAGAGGCATTAAGGAAAATCATTTATATAATATTACGACATATCGATTGCTAATAAAAAAATGGAAAATAATGTTTATTATTTATTTATAAATAAAATATTATCCCTTCCCGAAACAAGATAGTAAATACTTACCTGCAATATCATCGTTGATATAGTGATAGTACTGGGTTATATTATCAACTAACGTCCCCATTTCGATTCTGTAAATATAAACATCAATATATCAGTCTATTAAAAAGAATATACATTATTTGCTGAAACCCATGAATACATGATCTTCCTGCCCGGTTCCCAGCTACACTGGCGTCGCCACCACCCATGCGGCCGTGAGATGCACTTCTTACAGCCTATTATGGCGAATCGTTAAATTGGGCCGATCGAGATCTGTTCGAGCATATCCCGATATGTCGTCATTTCTAGATTTGACCAAAAAAATCGCGGTCGGCATGGTTAAAAGTTTGGCAGATCGATGAGAAAATTATAGCTTTGAGCTGCTCTTTCCGCTCTGTACTGGTGACAAATTAAATACGAATGCACTTTTATTGTCATTTGTAGAAAAAAATAAAATAGTGGCAAAGGGTAGATGTGTGCACGGGCTAGATATAACTAAAAAAATCTAATATTACTCCTTATTTAATTAAAAGTATTATGATAGTTATAATTGGCTAGCATTCAAAATTTACATACGAATAATTAAGCAATCATATTTCCTGAAGTTTACAAGTTGGCAAAACTAATAGTTACGATTTACGACTGTTTTACTGAATTAAGTATTTAAAAAATAAGATCGGCACGTTGATTTAATTTATAAAAATTAAGGGATTGTTCAGATTGATACGAAAAATTACGTTTATGCACTCACGGTGACTGTTTATGCGAACAATGTCTAAAACATTAGGTACCTATTAAGTATTAACAGTTCATTAGTTCTAACTATTTAACAAAACAAATAATTTTGCGATAACTTATAAATAAGTTACATTTCGATGTTCGTGTTGACCAACAAACTTATAAATGATCATCAACCTGGACTCATTAGAAGGTACTGAAACTATGGTTAAATTGGTAAGTTATTTACCCGACTGTGCGACGCAAGGGAGGGTAATGTGTTTATCAGTCGTTGTATGTATGTATGTTTGTTTCTATGTGGCGTTCTAGAGACCAAATGCGTAGGCCGATTTTGATGATTCTTACGTCAATCGATTCGTCTTAACCTTGCGAGTGTCACTAAAGACACGACAGTAATCAAAATTCATCACACCGACAACCAGACGCCATATTGTCAAAATCTTTAGGTTCCTTTTATCATTTTTTTATTTTAAACAATAGGATATATAACGATTTAAAGTTGTTTAACAAACGATATTAACTCCCTCAATGAAATGACTAGATAACGAAATTTACCATCTTATAACGAAGTCAACGAATCGTAACTAACAAGTATAAAATAAAAATAAATAATTTAAAAAAAAAACAAAAAACCCGATTGCGTTAAAACGATTTAAAAAAATTAACAAATTAACTTTAAAAAAAACTAATCAAAAGAAAGAAATAAGCCCAGTAGTTTAGAATTCTGTTAAGTAATACTAAATAACTACACAATTGAAATAGTTTTGTAATCGATATTCGGGGCTCATTCAAATTTTACCAATCAAATCTTTTCAAGAGGCCCCGACTATGAGTCGTTCTGTTCTGCATTAGAATTTATGATTTGTTTTATGTGTGTATCGAGTATAAAACTATTTCAATTGTGTAGTTTGTGTATTTAGTATTACTTAACAGAATTCTAAACTACTGGGCTTGTTTCTTTCTTTTTAGTTTTTATTTAAGTTAATTTATTCATATTTTTTAAATCGTTTTGACGCAGTTGGGTTTTTTGTTTTTCTTTTTTTTCAATAATAATTCTGCATACCATACCCTAAATATCTGTGCACGCCCCTGCTGCCAGCCGTCATCTCATCGCTCACTTTCATATAATGCCTCACACAGTATATCCATCCTTTCTCCGGCACTCCATCCATGGACATTTTTTAAATATCTACTTCGTTTAATTGGTAAATGAAATAACTTTTAAAACGGTTTCATCGCGTTTGTATTTAGTTTTATTGACGTTTCGGAACTACCTTCAAAAGACCAATACTATTGAACACATTCACAAGATAAAATATTTTATATTTTATGACAACGTTTACATTAAATTGAATAAAGTTATTTTAAAAGTGTTTTTAGAATAAAATATATATATATATATATATATATATATATATACCTACTGGCTACCGGAACCTGAGATATAATGCTATGACACGAATGATGTTTGCTATTTTGCCATACGATTAAATACAATAATTGCTGTTATTTGATTATTATGCAGATTTGCTTTCTATGATGTTAATCAGTTTTCTTGCGGCAAATCTTTCGTTCCGAAAAAAAAAACTATAAACTTGATAAAATATTCTACTCAAATTACGACCTTTTGAAGTAAGTTACCTTTGTTTTCTTCAAACAATCGTTTCTTTTGATAATGAACATTGGTAATTGGCGACCTTTTGAGACTTTGTTGTCTGTGTTTTGAATTATTTTAAATTAATGAACCATTATAATATATCTCTTTGACAGTAAATCTAAGAAGACTCAGAATGATAGATATATCTGAATATACAATCCAACCAATATATCTGAATATAAAGCTATTTAGTCGTACAGATTAATTCGATAGTAATATCAGTTTTTTTCCGTTAGAGAGGTCGCCCGGATCTCAGAGTAGGTACCAGAGACGAAATGGATTTTTAAAAGCAATTTTCATAAGTATATTTTTCAGTATAGCATTGTGAATGCAAAATTGGTCAAATATAATGACAGTTACTTGTCAGTTAGGACAAACTAGGTGTTTACCCGCAATTTCTCCCGCATAAATTGTGGTCTATGTCCACCCGCATATGATGTAGCTTTTTTCGAAAAATGAAGAATGAATTTCCATGATGAAACCAGTATTTCTGATTATTACCCCCACAAACAAATAAATTAGAAACTAATTGTCTCTTTATAAAGTTAGTTTAGATAAGCAAATACCAGAACAATATGTAAAACGATAGTTTATCTAGTTTCGGTCTGTAGATATTTGTGGTTTGCTGGTGTAGTACAATAATGAAATAGCAATTGAAAATAATATTTGGTATATTTGGTAAATGACGAGAGAAAAAACAATTGTTATCAATCGAATATATCACGAATTTCTAAAATTTTTGGCAGGTCAAAATATAGCATTTAGGGGCTCAACTAGAAGTTGTATGACCCAAATAATGATAATTTTAAAAGTTGGTCGAGATAATATCTATTTTGATAGTACTCTATTAGAACATATTGCCCGATTTCAAAGAGCTCAGCATTGCATGCCACATTATTTTGGTCATGGCATTCAAAATGAACTGATTACTTTAATTGCTGAAAAAATTAGAACTACTATAATTAGTCTTTTGAAACAATGTAAATACTACTCTGTAATTCTAGATTGCACACCTGATATTTCACACCAAGAACAACTTACTGTTATCGTGAGATTTATTTATTTAAATCCATCGTCAAATCGCGCTGAGGTACGAGAAAATTTATTAGGTTTCTGTAACTGATATTACCGGACAAGGATTGGCGACTTATTTGTTAGATTTCTTAAAATCATGCAATATTGAATTAGATGATTTGACCAATGATATGATAAGGGGGTCAATATCAGGGGAAAAATATAGGCCTCCAAAAATATATTGGACATGAATACTCGTGCTTCGTTACGCTCGTGTGCTGGTCACTACCTCAATTTAGTAGTAAATGACGCCGTTAAAAGCTCATTGGTAAATACAATTTTTTTCTGTATTGTCCAAGAAATCTATGCATTTTTGTCAGCATCCACATCAAGCTGGAATAAAATTATGAAACAGATACTCACTTTGACATTAAAATCTCTTTCAAATATGAGTTGGGACAGTAGATTTGATGCTCTTATTGCATTACTTTTTATTATTCATAAAATTTACGATGCATTATACTCTATTTTTACAAATGCTATGTGATAGCAACAGAAAAAACCTAGCGAGTTCTTTAATATCCAAATTAAAATCTTATAGATTCATATTTCGTTCAGAAAAAAATTGCAAAAATCAGACGTAATTATTTCAGAGGCTACCAAAATGATTAATCTGGTTAAAAATGATTTGGAGCAATACCGCACTGATAGCGCGTTTGAACAATTGTTATCTGATGCAAAAATAATTGCTGAACAATTAGAATGCGAAACAGAATTTAAAGAAACTACTCGTCCACGTCATTTTGTTTACGAGGCTGCAGATGAGCCCATTTTAGACCCAATTGACAAATGTAAAGTATGTTTGTATTTTTTACTACTGAGCTTTCGTTCTTCTAAAACATTGAATGCTGGAGTAAATCAGAGATGCATGAAAAAAAATCTCAATGCTCCAAGGAAAGCAAAATATAAAAATAGATTTGATATTGACGGGTAGGATTCATATAATGAATAAGAATTATTGCCAATATTTTTACCCAATGCATCAATAAGTAGTCTCACTGATATTTTAAGCTATATACATAGGTAACAAATAAACTTAAACCTCCTCGTCGGTCGAGTGCAGCGTGTAAAAGAAAACCACGGCGCCCAATATACTTAAGACGGCACTGGATCCAGGAGATCTCTTGCCATTGATATCAACCCTCTATACTCTGTCAGTCAAATATGAGTCTATAAAATGAGTTTTCTCTAAATCCATAATAAAAGAAAAAGTTTCTTAATCAATATTGCATGAAAAACACAATAGAAATACTTTAGAAAGGTCACAGAAAACGCCTAACGCGTCATGTGAATCCTTCCAGGCATCATAATGAAAATTTCTCGTTTGGCCAGCAGATTCTGGTAAACCACATTTACTACATACCAATCTTTTTACGTACCTAACTGTTTTACTGTTGTTAAGTGTAACTTACGGTTGCTTGGACAAAATTGCTCTTTTTATTACACTGCTATACTGTTAACGGATATAGTTAAATGTTATATTAATTTTAAATGAACAATAGAATGTTCATTAATTCAATATTTTTATAATATGCTCAAAATTGTACTGTAGCTTACTTATTTGTATTAATGCAATGTTTCGATGTTAACAATTATAATCAAATTTCTGCACTTGTCTTTTAGTCCAGTAATCAATGAATGAAGCTTTAAAATCAAGTGGAGTAATTTCATAGTTTTGTGTAACCGAAAGCGCTATTGTTGACTGTACATACATACATTGTAGCGCCATCAATTTGTGGCAAGACGTCCGTATATTTAATTATATTTTATTATGAATATACCACTATTACAAATTTGAGAGTAACTCTGTCTGAGTTTTACGTTACATTTACTTTTTCACGTCTAAACTACTGAACTAATTTTAATAAAATTTGGTACACCGATAGAGTGGACCTTGGGAAAGATCATAGGACAGTTTTAATTACGAAAAAAACCGAATACCACGCGGTCGAAGGAGCGAGCGGAAAGCTGGTAAAAGTAATAATAGTAAAAAGTATATAATTACAGTATGACAGTGCAGTTTCACGTGGAATAAGTATTGACATCGGCGTCATTAATATTCATGGACGTTCTTTATTAAGTCGGGTCAACGTTTTGACTCCAGTAAATGCATAAAATGAGTAAAAAAGTAAAATGCTGAAGTATTATTAAATACTGAAGTATAATTACTGATTGCAAATTGATATTGTATGTTGAATACAAGATCAATTCGCAATCAGTATTTAACATATTTTCGATGAAAAATATTTTTACAAATTTTAGCAATTTATTATATACATAGTATAAAACAAAGCAACTTCACCGAGATCTTTAATCTGCACTACGGATTATAATGCGGTTTTCATCAGAGTGATTCAAGACGAAGTATGCTGGCGGAAAGTAAGTATTAAACATACTGTAGGGCAAAAATCGGCCATCAACCTCACGGTACGGTAGGAATATCAGTGAGTAGTACAAAAATGTTTAATATAAACAAAAACAAAATGTCTATAAAAATTCAAGGCGTTAGGCGCTGTCTCTTAGTTTTCAGGTTCAATTCTCGGTCGGGTCAATGTAGAAAATGAACTTTTCTAAGCTAAGCTTTCTAACTTACAGTCTTAAGTCTAGGTGATGTTTTACCTTCATTGTATAAGATTAAGTAACGAATTTAGTAACGCTACCGTCAGATACTCATGTTAAAGTAGTAAAAGAAACTAAATATCGACACAGCATCGCTAAGGTCTCGTTTCGTATGGCTGGGGCACAGGGCTTCAATTTCTTTAATACCTAATCGAATCTCAATTAGAAATTCGACTACTTGCATTTTGCCATGGTACATCTACATGTCTTCATTACAAATAATAATAATAATTAAAAAAAAGATTCGAAGACAGATTGTGTAATTGACATAAAGTCATGATTACTGCCAAATTGGGCAGTATAATATATAAATACCGATTTATATTTGCTCTTAATAAAATGAGGAAGTATTTAAAAAAACATTAGTTTCCGAAAACAAACTAGATGTCGCTACGGTACGTTCTTGACTTCTTCATGAATACCCTTCCGGTTTTCTTTCAATTTTAAAAGTAAATAAGTATTCAAAACTCAATAAACAGCTCATATTCTATTTATTCTTTTTCGTATTTGTATTGATATCTTAGTTTCGAACTTTTCAAATTTCAGTTTTTTAATGTTAGTTAAAAGGAACCGAAATGACTGTCTTTGGTCTATTCATTTCCTGCAAAAATCAACTTTTGCTAGAGTCGCCATCTTAGTGGAGGTGCTTTTTTAGTGCTTTCGATTTTTTTTAATACTTCCTCATTAGACAAGTGGCCTCTAAACAATCCGTTCTAATATCATATCATATTAACGTCTTGTCTGTGTTACGGTATGGTCTAGTGAAAATTGGTAATTCGTTGAATGCTATTCATTCTTTTAAAATACAAAACAAATGCATACGGTCAGTCTGTGGTGCAAGATACTTGGACTCATGTAAGCCTTTGTTTAAAGCATTAAATGTATTACCACTTCCACGTTTATATATCATTGAAAAGTTAATTTAATGGACAAAAATTATTATTAAATTAATAATTTTTTGCATTCTTAATTATTGTATGAATCCTTGGATTATAATATGAATCTCTTGTGTCTTATTCGACTTATATGATTTGATATTCGCAATTTTTTATGTAATTTAATTTTTTAATTCTGTTTCGTATAAAATCAGATAATTTATTGTATTTTTACTTTAATATTTGCACATTGCCTTGACGATAAAATATGCTGGTCTAAAATTGTAGAACTAACTTGTAACCAAATTTTCGCAAATAAAGATTATTATTAATATTGTTATAATGAAAGATATATTTATTATTTTGTAATCTAGTAACAGGAACTGTAAAAGGGTTGTTGTTATTATTTCTATTGTTTTTCCATATTTACTATAAAAATAACAGAAAAGGATATTACAACTATTTTTTTAAAGTATTTCAATTCAATCTTAAGGTCCTAATAAACTATGGAAAAAATTATTTAGTGAGTAAAATTATATCTAAAGTTTATTATTTTCAAATTTCGCGAATTGAACCAAACACTTTTTTTTGTAAACAAAAGCGTTGCTATTGGTTTCTTACATTTTTATCTACTTTTTACCATAATTATATTGTTGTAAGAAGATAGTACTCACTTACAGCAATGTTTTAACATTTCGTAATACAGCAGAACAAAATTCAAGATTTGAAGTAAACTTCATTTACAAAATAATGTCCATTGTATTAATTTTAATGACTTTTTCTTTGTTTCGTCATTACAATAATAATAAAAAAACCTCTAAACGTATTTATCTTTCTTGAAATTTATTTTTCTTGTTAGTTTACAAACCGAATAACGTCATATCATGGCGCCTTCTGATTTGCGTACTAAAAACCCCAGATAAATAAAGATTTGAAAATTTTAATTTTAATTTCAAAAATTAATTTGTTTATTTTATGAAATTAAACTAACATTTTCAGACTGCTTATTGCCTAAGCTATCGCAATTGTATATTTTTAGATTTTTTCTCATATTGGCCAGGCCAGTATTGGCCTCGTGTTAATCAAATCTCAAGCCAGTAACAAGCCAGTTCAACGAAATTAATAGTATCTACATTCAAAATTTCATATCTAAAACATCCTGCTGTACAATTGAAACCCATCGAAGCAAAATATTAGTTTATGTTTGACACACGAAAGAAAAACAGCAATGGTGCAACAGAAATACCTTTGTGTCAAGGCTCTCGCAGTGGAGTAGTTAACTGTTTCTGAACACCCCAAGTTATTACTGAGGTCGACCACAAATTGCCAGAAAACGTTGATAAAGGAGTTAAAGCTTAAATAGCATTAAATTAATCTATAATAATATTGTGAAATGGTTTTAATTTATCTTTACAAAATTATTTGAAAACATTTACTCATATTTTTATTTAATCGAGTCTGATATTATAATTGCTAAAATAACTCTGTTTGTGTGTCTGTCTGTTAAGTTTTCACGACTAAACTACTGAACTAATTTAAGTGAAATTATTGGTAAACAGACAGATGGA